CTCACCCCCCCCCCACCTTTGCTGTAGCGTGGCCGAGCCCAGTATAGTCCGCGGGTACAGGGAGCATCTGTTTCCTGTACCTGGCCGGACTAACAGGAAGTGCACACTCAGTGTGCACTTCCTGTTAGTCCGGCCGGGTACAGGAGACAGCTGCTCCCTGTACCCGTCGGACCATCAATGCTGCAGGGCTCGGCCACGCTACAGCAAAGGAAGCTGACAGGAGGGAGCGCTGAGCGCTGAACGCTTCCCTCCTGTCAGCCTCTCCTCGGGTTGTGCACCGCCCGGGCAATGCTGCAGCCGCCTGAGGCTCTCTACAGAGTGCTCGGGCGGCTGCAGCATGGAGGGGCGGCGGGGCTGGCCATGGCACCCCCCACCCTGGTGGCACCCGGGGCAGACCACCCCCCCGCCCCTCCCTTAGTATGCCACTGCCAAATGCATTTTGTTTCTTTTTTTATTCATTTCAAAGGATACTATATTGTGATCACTATTTCCCAAGTACTCCCCTCCCTACTCCCTGGTTTCTTAGAACCAGGTCCAGACAAGCATCCTTTCTCCTTTCTAGTTGGTGCATGTACAAGTTGTGACATGAAGGTGTTGTTTAACAAGTTCAAAAATCAAATTCTCTTCGCTGAACTACTAGTCCCTCAATTCCAATTTATGTCTGGGTAATAAAAAACTCAGATAATTAACGTGTTTCTCAGATTTCCAGCCTTCCCACTTTGCTCAAACAGCTATTGTTCTTCATTAACATTAACATTACGTGGTTTATAAAACCTATCCCAACCAATAACTGCTTTCCCTTCTTGTGCCCCAAGCAGATATCTACCCATAAAGCTTCCACAGTTTCACATTTCACATCATCACATTGCACTTAAGATTTGGCTTTAACACTGGGTTAACATACAACTATACCCCACCTCCTTTCCTGTTTTTCCTGCGTGTATCCATTAACAGCCCAGTCATGAGTCTCATTCCACCCTGTTTCTGTTATGCCCATTATGTCATATTGTTTACTTATTGTATGTCATTGCCTCTAGTTCTCCCATTTTGTTATTTAGGCTTCTTGGATTAGTAAGCATACATTTAATATTATTATGAGTCACTTGTATTTTATGTGAGTTTTTATTACTATTACATACCTCCTCAGTTCTGATCATACCCCCCCTTCTCCGCCCCCCTTGTACTGAGCTAAAGCTCATCTCCTTTCTGACCTATCTCTATTTTGTAGATTTATATGCCCCCCACCCTTACCGCTAGTTTAAAACCTCCTCCAACCGTACAATTGTGTATGTTGCAAAATATATAGTAATAATAATAGTCCACCTATGACATCTAAGGTGCATGGTGGATAACAAACAGTTATTTGTGCAAATATATGTGTGTGTAATTAACCAAATGAGTGTTGATGGGACCAGTGAGTTGTTGTTGCTATTACCACTAGTGGGATTCAAAACATTTTAGTAACCAGTTCCGACTTTTCATATGTTTCAAACTCCATAGGGTTGGCCCAAGACATTGTGCTGCCTTATTCACCCACACAAGCACCTTGACACAGTCACACATATATGCACTAGGTTGGCAAAAACACATGGGCGGCAGGGTAATACTATTAATGCAATAAATGCAAAATCCTTGTATATCATGCCAATGAGCAGCAACTGCATAAACGTGATATATCATGCCAATGAAGCAATAAATACATAAACTTGGTATATCATGCCAATGAGCAGTAAATGCATAAATCCTTTATATCCTGCCAAAGAGAAGTACATTCTTAAAATTTGTATATCATGCCAATGAGCCATGTGTGGTTCCAAAACGTCTGCTAGTGCCATGTGCTCCCAAACAACCTACCAGTGTCATCTCTCTGCCCCCAGCCTCTGTGTGCCATCTCTTTGCCCTTAGCTGTGTCATCTCTCTGCCCCCAGCCTCTCTATACCACAGTTCTGCCTCCAGCCACTCGGTGCAATCCCTCTGCCCTTTGCCTTTCTGTGCCATCTCAAACCTTAGCCTTCCTGTACCAGTTTTCTGCCTTCAGAATCTCTGAGCCATCTCACTGCCACCAGCACACTGGTGACAGACAGTGTGTGTGGTATGGTGACAGTGTGTGAGGGGGAAAGTGTGTGGGATGGTGATAATTTGTGTGGAGTGGGACAGTGTGTGTGGGTGATAGTGTGTGGGATGGTGACAGTGTGTGTGGAAGGATGACAGTGTGTGGAAGGGTGACAATATGGAAGGTAGTGAGTGTGGGTTGACAGTGTGGGGTGGTGGTGACAGTGTGGGAGGAAGACAGTGTGTGTGGATAAAAGTGTGAGGGAGTGTGGGTGGCTAGCGGCCGACCGGGAAAGGCCCCTGGAGTAAGAGCTCCCAGGCCGACGGACCCGAGAGCTACAGGCAGCCGTTATAGACCCACCAATCCTGAACCTGCAGAGCTCCATCGGGCAGCAAGCGCTCACATGGCACCCTCCAAGCAGCTGAAAATCACGGACCTGATCAGGTCCGCCAAAAAAGACCGCCTCCGCTCCAGCCAAGATGGCGACGGCAGCATGGCGACTGCCTCTAGCGCTGAAGATCAGCTAGACACAGGAGATCCCACGGGCCGTTACACAGACAACCCGGTGAGTGAGAAAAGCCTCTACAACATGCTACAAGAGCTTAGGGCTACCTTGCATGCAGACTTCCAACAAATGATGGCAGACTTCAAACAGGACCTGTCTGAGCTGGGAGACAGAACAGACAGACTAGAAATCTGCACAGAAGAAATATGTTCAGCTCACAATGATATGGAGGCTAAATTGCAAGCTCTCAGTGAGGAACAAACGCAGCTAAAATGGAAAATGGCGGACATAGAGGATCGCTCTAGGCGCAACAATGTCAGGTTTAGAGGAATCCCTGATAACATCACACATGAGGCTCTGCTCGACTATATCAAAGGCCTGTGTCAAGCCGTGCTGCCGGCTGCTGGACAGAGCGCACCGTTGACCTAGGCCGCAGCGCTTCACAGCAGACACCCCGCGCGATGTGGTGGTCAGGTTCCACTATTACACGGCAAAAGATTCGCTGCTGACTGCCACGCGCAAACTTACATCGCTACCAGAACCGTTCCAGGGGGTGCAATTGTTCGCAGATCTATCTGCTCTCACAATGAGCCGACAAAGAGAATTTATCTCAGTCACGAAGACTCTCTGCAACCACGATGCCCCATACCGCTGGGGTTATCCCACTAAGATTATCGTTTGGAGAAATAACAAAAACCACGTTCTCGAGGAACCAGAGGATGGATTGCTCCTTCTGAGAGAATGGGGACTTTTCCAGCGGCCAGACCAGCCAGCGCAAGATCCGAAACCGCAGAGGAGACTCACAACTAAATGGCACATGGCGGGATCGCCAAGAAGGGACAAATGAACTCGTCCTCCACAACCCTCCATCCCACTAAAAAAACTGACCACGTGCCTGAACGGAAAGGAAATGGATGCTGAAGCCGACCATAACGTTGTGTAATGTATATGGCACCTATTTCGTATCTACACCAGGGCACTTATACCTTTCTCACTGGGTCTTATAGCAGATGGGATGGAGGGCATATAAAGGGCAAAAAAAAGTAAAAAAAAAAAAAAAAAGTATACACAACTACTTAACTGAGAGGACGGGATGCTCTCACATAACAGTAACGTATATAAGGCTGTCTGTACAATGTCAGCTACGTAATATCAAATATAAGTAAGGGGTCCCGGTTAAGGCCAAACCACGCAGGTTACCCTTAATCCCCCAGTTGGGCCTGCCTCCCAAGCATTAGGCTGGGTGGTTGCCCCAACAACATTGATGACCCTATTAGGGTAATGTTGTATATACTTTGTTTGTTTTCTATGTTTATGTTTATTCTGTTATCTGGGATCACTGTATTGAACTATGCTCCACAGGACCACACTATTTGTCAAGAGGGAACACCATTAGATGCAAAGGGGGGAGGGAGACCCCAGAGCACCCACACACTATCGCAGGAAGCCTATACACACCTAATGCCAAAGCATTACCTCCATTATAGCGGATACTCACAAATTCTGACCATGGGGATACCCAACACTATGACCCTTTTCTCTCTGAATGTGAAAGGCCTTAATAGCCCCCATAAACGGAGGTTGGCGGCACAAGACATCCGAACTTCTGGGGCGGCCATAGCTTGTCTGCAAGAGACACACTTCTGCAACCCCCCAAGATTTGCAATCCGACACTACTCCTAAGCATATCATACACACTCCCCAACAAAATCAAAAGGGGTTTCCATATACTTTCATGATGACTGGGCGTTCACAACAAGCCAACAACATACGGGACGAGATGGCCAGCTACTCATTTTAGTAGGCACATTAAATGGCATACTGATAACGATTGCTTCCCAAACGCCCCCAACAAGGACCAAACGGCCTTTCTCACAAAAGCTCTAAAGAAGGTAGCAAAATACAAGCAGGAACATGTCATTCTATGTGGAGACTTCAATTGCACACCACATCCCCACCTAGACATTCAACGCACACAGAACAAAGGACCAAAAAGGGCATCATTAGCACTGGGGCGACACAAGTCGATTACTATTTGAACAAGACCTATACGACTCATGGCGCTGTCTTTATCCAGGAACCAAAGATTACACGTATTACTCCCCGGTGCACATGACACACTCTAGAATCGATCTATGCATCACGGACAAAACCACACTAACACACGTCATGACAGTCGTGATCGGCCCTATCATATGGTCCGACCACGCGCCGCTTACGGTGACCCTCCGGGTCCCGCACCCGGCCCGTGGCACAGGATCCTGGCGCCTCAATGAGGCCTTCCTGGACTGCCCCAACACCTACTCTACCGTCCTAACCCACCTAACTGACTTCTTCTCACAACACGAATCCTGCACCATGCCCATCAGAACTCAATGGTTAGCACACAAGACAGTTATGCGAGGCGTTTTGATACAGGCGGGAGCCACCATGAAAAAACAACACAACAAAACCAAAGCTGAACTCCTCGCAAAGCTCGCCGCATTAGAGTCCCAACACAAAACCACACCACATAAAGCGACCCACAAGCAGTTACAATGAATCAGAACTGATCTACACAATCTTGAAATTGCTACAACAGAGAAGCATATGCGTTACCTTAAACAAGCCGATTACATTACAGGGAACAAGGCAGGAAAAGCACTCGCTAAGAAACTAAAGCAGAAATACTTACACACGAAAATACCGTACATAATTTCCAAGTCTGTCGACAAATTATACAACCCACACCACATTGTGGAGGAATTGGCCTCTTTCTGCGCGTCCCTATACCAGCTCGACAGGGACCCCCAAACACACCAACCGTCTGAAGAGGAAATCACCCGCTTCCTGAACACTACCCACATCCCATCCATTACAAGAGCACAACAGGAGCTTTTAGAAGCTCCATTCACTTGCGATGAAGTGGCCAACACGATGGCAAGTATACCTAAACACAAATCGCCTGGCCCGGATGGGCTGTCCAACTACTACTACCACAAACTAAGCACCATACTACTTCCGCACATCACCAAACTCGTCAATCACATTAAACAAACGGGGCAAATCCCTAAAGAAATGCTGGAAGCGTTTATAGTCACGTTACCCAAGCCAACCAAATCCCTGACGATCTGTGCAAACCTAAGGCCTATTTCCCTACTCAACGCAGACATCAAGCTGTATGCTAAATTACTAGCAAAGAGACTTAAATCTCTATTCCCAACTCTGATCTCAGAGGAACAGGCAGGATTTGTCCCGGGCAAGCAAATAGGCGACAATACCAGAGACTTCATTAACCTCATAGAATGGGCCCACTCCACACATCAAGGGGGAGTCCTGTTAGCGCTCGACGCTGAGAAAGCGTTTGATCGCCTAAATTGGAAATATATGCGACTAACACTTGCCCAAATGGGCATTCCCCAAGAGTTCTTAACCAGCATTCTAGCCCTGTACCAAGAACCTTTGGCTAAAATCTTTAGCACAGGCTTCCTATCGACTCGATTAGCCATACGAAACGGCACACGACAGGGCTGCCCCCTTTCCCCACTCATCTTTATCCTTTGCCTAGAGCCATTGATAAGGCATATAAAACAAACAAAAGGAATTCAGGGCATATCTACTCCAAAGGGCGAACAGAAACTGGCATTGTTTGCCGACGATATTCTCCTGTACCTCACAAAACCAGAGCACTCTATCCCACAGCTGCAAAAGCTCCTGGCCACATACAGCGAAGTATCCTTCTACAAAAACAACACTGCAAAAACACCAGCTCTCCCTATTCTATTACCGCACACCCTCATGACACAACTCGAGTGCACATATACATTCGACTGGAGGAAAAAGTCGCTCTCATATTTAGGGATTAAACTCACTAACTCAATAAGCACACTACAAAAAGAAAACCATATTCCTTTGATTCAGAAACTCACAACACAATTAACATCATGGGAAGACCTAGAGGTTTCCTGGATAGGCCGCATCAACTCAATTAAGATGATGATTTTCCCACACATACTTTACCTGTTCAGAACCATCCCCATAACCTTGCCAGCCCGCCTCCTTAACCGGCTCCAATCTGTTATAAACGCGCACGTCTGGAAACAGAAACCCCCGCGAATTAAAAACAAAACTTTAGGCCTCCACTTCACTAGAGGAGGTCTGGGCTTCCCCGATGTTCGGTTGTACTACCAGGCCTCCTTATTAGCTCAAGGTCTAAGACTACTCAGAGCTTCCAAGAAAGCACCAACCCCAATCTGGCTCTCCTTTGAAGACGCCTGCATCCACCCGGCACAAATAACCCAAGCTCTGTGGGTGGACGCCCCGACCCTCATTAAAAAGCCAATCCTACAATGCACAATGACATTTCTACAGGCCTGGAGAAACTGGGCCTCGAATATATTAGACCCAAAGGAACTGCAAAGGCTGTCTCCAATCACAGTACTACAGACCCACTCTCCAAATCTATAAGTCCATAAGTGGCTGGCAAAAGGTATCCTGAGGGTAGAAAATCTTTTCGACAAAAGTGTAGTAAAACCATTCCCAGTTTTACAGGCAGAATTCTCCCTCCCCTCCCGAGACCTATTTCTATACCTAAGGGTCAAGAACATCTTACAGGCCAATACACAAGCCAATGAGACCACTCAGAGGCTTATAGCATACAGCCCACAACACCTGTTGAACGCCCGCCACATCAAGCCCCTGGCAATGTGCTACAATGCCCTGTGGGAAGCTGCTACCCCACACAAACTCCAATACATGACACAATGGGAGAGGGATATCGGCAGGGAAATCACGGCACAACAATGGCACAAGGCCATATCCATCACCAAGAGGGCATCTAGCAGCATCTCTATGTGGGAGGCATATAGCAAAATCACAATGAGATGGTACATGGTGCCTCAAAGACTGGCCAAAATGTATAGTACAGTCTCCCCTCTATGCTGGAGGTGCAAGAAATCCCAGGGTACACTGTTACATGTCTTCTGGGAATGCCAAGACATTCAGCCACTATGGTTAAGCGTACAAACACTGGTAAACAAGTTAACCCACATTACCCTGCCACTGTCACCTGAAGGATACTTACTAAATATGTTGCCAACGCTGCACCAGAAGCACCATACCCCACTGATAGTAAACCTTCTCACGTTCACTAAAATGGCTATAGCATTTCACTGGAAGGATAAAGCGATCCCCTCAATAGAAGAGATCTCAAAGAAATTAGATAATGTCTGTCTATATGAAAACATGGCTCTGAGTATGAAGGGGAAAGCACAACAACACGAGGTGGTATGGCAGGACTGGCTCACGCATCGACGGGCGGGCACTGCATAGCAGGCCAGGTCCGATAATAAAAACATAACCACAAAACATGAGTCCCAACCGAGCTGAGCGTACCCAAATGAAGTTCCCTTTGCACTCATTACTGGTCCCAGATCAAGATCAAGTTCAAGTTTATGTTCAGATGAGTTTACTTCCTTCCCCAGGTTTTCCCATATTCCACACACGCTGACCAATGAGGTACAAGCGATAGATATGCCATGAGTCAAACACACGCGGGCACCAAGACATAGCTATTGAGTAGAATTAAACCCAGGAGGCAATCCTGTACTTACAATATATGGTAATAAAGCGAAATGTGGAGATGTGAAATGACACGAACATATGCACTAAATTTTGTATGCGTATATGCAAGACCTGCAACGTGCGCTGTCCCAATTGACAGATGTTGTCAACGCAAACTACCATGTAATGTATATTGCTACTGTATGTATATCATAATGTGGAACTCCCTTTTCCTTCTCCCTTTTTTTTTTTTTTTACCTTTTCTTACAAAACACAATAAACACAAATATGATTTTTTTTAAAAAAGTGTGAGGGAGGGGGCAGTGTGTGTGGGTGACAGTGTGGGGGATTGTGACAGTGTGTGTGGGAGGGTGACAGGAGGGGGATGGTGACAGTGGGGCGGATGGTGACAGTAGAGGGAAAGTGACAGTGTGGGAGGATGGTGACAGTGTGAGAAGAGGTGACAGTGTGGGAAGTTATAATGTGAGGGGATGGTGACAGTGTGTGTGTGTGGGAGGGTGACCGTGTGTGAGATGGTGAGTGTGTGTGGGAGGGTGACAATAGAGGGATGGTGACAGTAGGGGTGGTGGTGACAGTGTGGGAAGTGGTGGCAGTAGGTGTGGTTATCACAGTGTGGGAAGTGGTGACAGTGGGGGAATGATGACAGTGGTGGTGGTGGTAATGTGAAGGGGTGGTGACAGTGGGGTGATGGTGACACTGTGGGAAGTGGTGACAATGGGGGGGTAAAAGTGAGGGTAGTGTAAGGGGATGGTGACAGTGCGGGGATGATTGTGTGAGGGGATGGGGACCTTGGGGGTGGTGGTAGTGTGATGGGATGGTTACACTGTGGGTTGTAGTGTGTGGGGATGGGGACCATTGGGGTGGTGGTAGTGTGTGGGGATGTTGACAGTGGGGGTGGCAGTAGTGTGAGGGGATGGTGACAGTAGGGGGTGGTAGTGTGAGGGGATGGTGACAGTAGGGTGGTAGTGTGGGGGAATGGGGACAGTGGGGGGTGGTAGTGTGAGGGGATGGAGACAGGGTGGGGTGGTAGTGTGAGCAGATGGTGACTGCGGAGGGGTGGTAGTGTGAGGGTAGGGTGGCAATGGGGGGAGTTGGTAGCATGTGGGGAGGCTGTGACTTAGTGAAATACCTTTATATTTAGGGGTGGGGACCATGGGGGATGGTGGTAGTGTGTGGGGATGGTGACAGTCAGGATGGTGGCAGTGTGAGGGGATGGTGACAGTAGGGGGTGGTAGTGTGAGGGGATGGGGACAGTGGGGGGTGGCAGTGTGAGGGGATGGTGACAGGGTGGGGTGGTAGTGTGAGCAGATGGTGACTGCGGAGGGGTGGTAGTGTGAGGGTAGGGTGGCAATGGGGGGAGTTGGTAGCATGTGGGGAGGCTGTGACTTAATGAAATACCTTTATATTTTTTGTGTGTAATCCATTCCCTGGTAATCCAGTGGTCTCCTCCTCCCTGGTGGTCCAGTAGGCTAGGTATCCAGTCTGCCAGAGCCTCGTTGTCTGCAGCTCTGCCGGGTGCAGAGCTGCAGACCATGGAGTAGAGATCTTGCGCTCTCTGGCACTTGATGTGTCAGAGTGTTGCCGTGGTAACCCACAGCAACGCTCTGACTGGCTGGAGATCGCAAGATCTCTACTCCATGGTCTGCAGCTCTGCACCTGGCGGAGCTGCAGATAGGGAGGCTCTTGCAGACTACACGGAGGGGCCCTGCACCTGGCGGCATACAGGCCTCCACGTGGTGTCACCCCTTGGTCAAGGGCCGAAGACCGACACCTCAGTTGCCAATTCTAATCACCGGTTCGGCGAACTTGTTACATTTTAGTAACAGATTCGCTCGAACCAGTGAGAACCGTCTGAATCCCACCACTGGCTATAACCTATTCAAGGGCCTTAGGTGGCAATAGTGCTTACTGTGTATTTTTAATTATTTAGCTACACTCCTTTCCAATTGACCTATAATAGATTTCAAGTATAAAACAAACAAGCATTTTAGTACACACTGTTTTAGGCCATTGCACAAAAACATAAAACCTGCTTGTAATCATTTACATAAACAAATTGTGTCACTTACATCGTATGAACCTTGTTAGATATGATTCCAAAAGACTGACCGTTTTTATTCTGTGCAATTACATTGAGCTTGCAATTATAAAGTGTCTGCACAGAGCTACTTTCTGTATTTCTAACCTTGCCTAACATTATTTTTTTCTTCTACCAGCTGAGATTTTCTGCTCCAGTGATATTGAAGAATTCTTGCGAGAAGCAGCATTCATGAAGGAATTTGACCATCTAAATGTCTGCAAATTAATAGGTAAATAGGTTTTATAGCAAATACTACCTACCACAGTGAAAATATGCTTACACGGTAAATGTGTTGCTTTTCTTTACCCATAAAATACATTTGTTAAGAAAAATATTAAAATGAATCAAGTCTATATTTTATAATTAACCCCTTAGCGACCGAGGACGGTTCAGGACCGTCATCGGCATTTTTGCCTTGAGGACCGATGACGGTCCTGAACCGTCCTAACGGTCTGGGGGTACTTACCTGATCGCCGTCGTTCCCCCGGCGGCGATCAGCGTTGCTCCGGTTGTGGGGAGACTGCCTGCAGCCCAGACAGTCTCCCCACACTGATTTAGGACCCCTGTGGCCATGTGATAGCTTAACACAGCGATCACATGGTCACAATAGGTGTCCATAGTGTTTGCAGGACTGCGCCGACAGGCAGCCCCCAAGTAGTGTAAAATCAAAAAAAATAAAGGGTGTTAGCGATTCGATTATAGTGCCAGGAAAACATACTGTTTTCCTGGCACTATAGTGCCCTGAGGGTGCCCCCACCCTCAGGGACCCCTCCCTACCTCGCCTCTGGAAGCGTGGCGGGTGTTAGTTTCTTTCCAGCGCCATGGAGCTCTTCCTCCGCCCGCCGACCGCTTCCGCCGTTGACGCGCACGCCATACAGCCGCGCCGCCAGCATTCAGCTTCCTCCGCCAAGCCGCATAGGAAAGCATTTACAAGCGAGGACGTTGCGTTTCACCGTGAAAATCACAGTGAGAAAGATCAAGAAAGCGTTTAGTGGCTGCTCACGAGACAGCTACTAGAGGATTAGGGAAGGTTATTCCATTTCGAGTACTCATAGCAGTTTCTCTGAAACTGCTATAATTATGAAAAAATGGGTTAACCCTAGCTGGACCTGGCACCCAGACCACTTCATTAAGCTGAAGTGGTCTGGGTGCCTAGAGTGGTTCTTTAATAAAAAAAATTTAAAAAATTATATATGTGTATAAATATGATATATAGACATATATTATATCTATATAATATATGTCTATCTATCATATATATAATGTCATACTAAGTGTATTTTTATATTAATATGTACTTATATTAATATAAAAATATACTTATAATTAAATTACACGCTTATATATATATAATATATATAGTAACTATATATAGTGTGTATATATATATATATATATATTATAAAATACAAATAATAAAGAAATTAAATAAAAAAATTTTAAATAAAATTTACAAAAATTATATATCTATATGAAATTTTATTCTAACTGTATTTAAAAATTAATATATATATATTTATATCAAAATACACTTAGAATGAATTTGTATATATATCTATGTATATAAAAATAAATAAAAATAATAAGAAATATACATACGTCCATATACAAAATTACATAAATAATTATATAAATATACACGTAGACTTCAAATGTATAAATATGCATATATATTTAAATTCTACGTGCGTATTTATGTAATATTTTTACATAATTCAGTAATTTTATTGATTGCAATTTGAGGGACCTGCCTGCCAACCCAGGCCGAAATTCCAGATAATTTAATTTGCTAGCACTGTATTTTACCCTGTAACGTTCTACGACACCCTAAAACCTGTACATGGGGGGTACTGTTTTACTCGCGAGACTTCGCTGAACACAAATATTAGTGATTCACAACAGTAAAACATATCACAGCGATGATATTGTCAGTGAAAGTTACTTTTTTTGCATTTTTCACACACAAGCAGCACTTTTACTGATGATATAATTGTTGTGATACGTTTTCCAGTTTTTAAACACTAATATTTGTGTTCAGCGATGTCTCCCGAGTAAAACAGTACCCCCCATGTACAGGTTTTATAGCATTTTTGAAAGTTACAAGGTCAAATATATAGGTCAAATATTTTTACATTGAAAATGGCCAGGTTGGTTACGTTGCCTTTGAGAGCGTATGGTAGCCCAGGAATGAGAATTACCCCCATGATGGCATACCATTTGCAAAAGAAGACAACCCAAGGTATTGCAAATGGGGTATGTCCAGTCTTTTTTAGTAACCACTTGGTCACAAACACTGGCAAAATTAGCGTTCAATTTAGTTTTTTTTGCTTTTCACACTGAAACCATGATATGAGATACTTGCACTTTTGTCCGGTGTTTTTTCGACAAGTGGCTGCAGAACTAGCCTCTATATTAAAATACCTAGGTTATCTACTAAAAAATATTCTCTTTTATGTGGGGTGTTATTCAGAGATTTATGACAGGTAATAGTGTTACAATGTCACTATTGATAAATTTAAAAAATTTATGTTTTGAAACCTCAATATTCTACTTGTACCTATAGCCCTATAACATGCAAAAAAGCATGTAAACACGGGGTATTTTTAAACTCAGGACAAAATTTTGAATCTATTTAGCAGTTTTTTTAATTCGCTTTTGTAGATGAGTAAAAGATTTTTCAAGTAAAAGTCAAAAAACATGTATTTTTTCAATTTTTCATCATATTTTTTTATTTTTTTTAAATTAAAATGCATGAGATTATATAAATAATGGTATGTAAAGAAAGCCCCTTTTGTCCTGAAAAAAACAATATATAATTTGTATGGGAACAGTAAATGAGAGAGCGGAAAATTACAGCCAAACACAAACACCACAAAAGTGTAAAAATATGCCACCAATTACGCCAAATGTACAACATACTTAAAAACAGTCCAGTCATAAGGTGTTAAAAAGGACCACTCCTAGGCACCCAGACCACTTCAGCAATGAAGTGGTCACCAGATTTTCAAACTTAGGGTTAACCCATTTTTTTAATAAAACTTGTAGCAGTTTCAAGAAAGAGAGCTGCTATGTTTCAATATTGAGTTAACCAACGCTAAAAGAAACACTCTAGTGGCTGTCTCATTGACAGCCACTAGACTTGCGTCTTCTACACTGTGATTTTCACAGTGAGAGCGCGCTCATCGGTCCATAGGGAAAGCATTATGAATGCTTTCCTAGTGACGGCTGAATGCGCGCGCAGCTCCTGCGGCGTGCGCATTCAGCCGACGGGAGGAGAAGAGGAGGATCGGAGGAGGAGAGCTCTCCGCCCAGCGGTGGAAAAAGGTAAGTTTTACCCCTTTCCAGAGCCGGGCGGGAGGGGGTCCCTGAGGGTGGGGGCACCCTCAGGGCACTATAGTGCCAGGAAAACGAGTATGTTTTCCTGGCACTATAGTGGTCCTTTAAGTTGCAAATGTATTTGTGAAATTAATATATAGATCTACACTCAAATTTGATGGAACCTACAAATTGAGAAAGCTATGAGACAGTGATGCCAAAAATAAATACAGAAAATGCTTATAGTGATATAGTAACATTAAAGAAAAAACATTTTAGTGTTAGGAAAACAAATATGTATTCCTAACACTATATAGTGTCCCTCTGCCCCCATACCCACCTGTCCATACGTCCACACACGCAATAGGCCTTCCCCATAGGGAAGCATTGAATCAATGCTTTCCTATGGGGGTTTTCAAAACGGATTCTGGGTACTGGAGTGACTTGATAGAGATGAAAAATTACCCCATTCCATAATGTCCTTTTGGTTAACTGCAATGATTGAAAAAACATCAGAAAGATTCTCTTTTACCAAAATATGTAAATATCAAGAAGCAAACAAAAAGAAAATGTGAAAGTTTGAATCCGCGTAAACTAACATACCTAAGTAATATTTACATGTGGTGGTTTTCATATAGCAGAAATAAATACAGAATTATTGTAAGCTAATATAGTAAGTTGGTAAACACTTTTTATATTCTTTATACTTATGATTTTGAATATATCATAATTATTAATCTTAAGTTCACAACTCTGTTGATAACGCTTTGGTGCTCGCACTAGCTTCAAGGAAATTGTAGTGTTATGTTGTAATATACATATTTCAAAAATCTGCTTCTTAATTTTAACACCAGGAGTGAGTTTGAGGAGTCGTACCAAGGGGAGGCTTCCTGTTCCCATGGTTATTCTCCCATTCATGAAGCATGGGGATCTCCACACTTTCCTTCTGATGTCCCGCATTGGAGAAGAGCCTATTGTAAGTGGAATAGTTATCTTCTAAAGTTGTATAGTCTAAATATTACCCAGTACTTTTGTTTTGAAGATGTTTTTTTTTTTTTACTTGAAATACCTTATTTTTGAGTAGGAAAAATTACAGCATACTAGAGGCTTATGCATGTATGTACGTAGTGGGGAATCGTGATGCAGCCTAGAACAAAATCCAACCCCATTCAACTCCCCCAATAATGACAGACCACTTAGTATGGATGAAACAGGCCACAGCATTTATTATCACAAACTAAATTACTGCATAACACATCCATAATTTTATTTATTGTGGCGAAACCGACCTCGCCACGTGTCCTTGGAGGGGGCTGCTTGCCCGCCTCTTGCCTTTGGACTATGGCCCTGCAGGTTAAACTGTTTATTTTCCCTGCAGAAAGGCTTATTCGTGTGATCTGAGTGCCATTCATCTAATAATGTGCAGTCAGATCCAAGCTATCTGGGGATATGTAGAAATGTGTGTTTTATGTACTAAATGTGTCAGTATGTAATTTTATGTCTTTTACTGTCTTTTTGTCTGCCATGTGGGTAATGGAGTTTGGCTCTGTCTTTGGAGATAATTAGATTCCTTCTCCAATTATCTCCAGGGCAGAAGGGAGGAAGCCAGGATGCATTGTGGGGATGTTTTACTTTTACTGTTTGAGCCAGGGGAAACAAAAGATACTTTTACTAACTTTTATACCCCTGGTCTGATTCATGCCATTTTTTAATATGTTGTTCCCCTGAATGGATTGATTGTGAATATGTATTTTTATGCGAATGTGATGTATATTTTGGGAGTTATGAATGTTGTGTAAAAACTGTATTTTCCCTACCTATGATAATTGTATTTCCCTGTGTGTACAGATAATTAGTTTACAGGTAGAGGGGAGGGCTATGTGTGGGATGTAACTATTGTGTGATTGGTTAATGTACGTTACTGTGTGTGTCCCTCCCCTTCATGGGAGCACCTAATAAAAAGGGCTGCAAGCTAGCAGCCAGAGAGTTCTATTTTTACCCTCAACTTGAGTCCTGTCTCTTATTGGGGGAATCTGCTACAAGGGATTGCTATGCTAGGCATATTCCCTTGCTATAATCACTGAGCTCTTGTAAGAGCTTGTTCCTGCTTCGTTCTGAAGGGAGATAGCTGCAGCCTGCGGTGCTTATGGTGTCTGGTGGAGTGCTTGGAGTCCTCTGGAAGCGCTAGGAGCATCTTTCAACGGAGGTACCCAGTCGGGGTGCCAGGTGATCCGTTACATTGGTGGCAAGCGGCGGGATGGCATCCTAGTGCGAGGAGAAGCAGCTCGGAGACACCGGTAACGTGTGGAGTTGTGCAGCGTCCTTATCTTCAGCAACATAATGGAACCAGCAGTGGCTACAGCAAGCATGGCGTATAGCTACTCCGTACTAGAGTTTGGCACGATGGTAGGGTTGCACCTGAAGTTTTACGGACCCAATCCAGAGGAGAAATACGTGCGGTTCGTGTGGGACATGGTGACCCGGAACCTACAACACAGGGCGCTGAGGGAAGGCCAGTGGGCACGTTGGGAGAAACTCCAGCCACAGGTAGAGTGGGACGAGGAAGAAACCGAGGTGGCCGGTGGAGATGGGACCGAGGTCTCTCTACCGGCCCTACAGGGATGCTGGGCACCCGGCCCAGATCCCCAGCGGCAGTATGTTTTACAGGGAGGGGAGACAGTCGGTCTCACTCCCCAGCGGCAGAATGTGTTATTGGAGGAAGAGACAACCGGTCTCCCTCCCCAACAGCAACCAGAGGTACCCGAGGTAGAGGACCTCATAGACTGGTCCTGGGAGGACCCCCTGCAGGCAGGTGGAGATGGGACCGAGATCTCTCCACCGGCCCTACAGGGATGCTGGGCAACCGGCCCAGATCCCCAACTAGAGCTGGAGTTACAGAAAGTGGAGAGCATCGACCTCCCCCCCCAGCAGCAGCCGGAGTACCAGGGGGAGGTAAGTGATATTTCTCCTCCCCAGCCAACTCCTTTGTTCCCTGACCCCCCAGCAGAAGAGCTGGCAACTGGGCAGAGCGCCGCTGGCCTCTGTCCTCCCTTGTTTCCTTCCCCTGAGCCTGACTTTCTACAGGCTGCCCCAGCGGAAGGTGCCGTCCTTCCTCCCCAGCGGCAGTGCGTACCCCAGGGAGCTGATGGTGTCGTCCGTCCTCCCCAGCAGCAGTGTGTAACCCAGGGAGCCGAAGGTGTCGTCCTTCCTCCCCAGCGGCAGTGTGTACCCCAGGGAGCTGAGGGTGCAATCCTTCCTCTCCAGCGACAGTGTGTACCCCAGGGAGCTGAAGGTGTCGTCCTTCCTCCCCAGCGGCAGTGTGTCCTGCAGGGAGCAGAGACCGTCAGTCTCACACCCCAGCAGCAGGACAAAATAATGAAAGGGGAGACAGCTGGTCCGCCTCTCCACCAGCAGAGAGAGTGTCAGGGAGAGGAGCCTGTTAACCCCTCTCCCCAGCGGCAGTTGACAGTCCAGAGAGAGGAGCTTGTTACACCCTCTCTCCAGCGGCAGCCTAACCCACCAAGGGGAGATGTTGAGCCCCGCAACTGTGCAGATGGGACCGTAGTCTCTGCGCTTACAGCCCAAGGGGTAGAGACGGTCGGTCCTGTTCCCCAGCCCCAGAGCTGTGTACCCAGAGGGGAGACGGTCGGTCTCCCCCTCCCACAACCAGGCTCCAATCAGGCTACTTCGGTGGTAGCGCTGGCACCAGGGCAGAGTACCGCTGGTCTCTGCCCACTCAGCAACCCACCAAGGCAGTCTACCAGCTCCCCACACAGCCGTGGTGAGGCACCTGGACATGGACAAGTTGCTACTTTATCCAGGTGGAGTAAACATTTATTGTGGGTGGGCTGTACTGCTGTTTGTGCTTCGTGGGTGGGTTGCTGGACTAACCAGGGCACTGACCGGCAGGAGGTCAGATACCCTGTTAGTCTGGGGGGCAAAGGGGAGAAGTGTGGCAAAACCGACCTCGCCACGTGTCCTTGGAGGGGGCTGCTTGCCCGCCTCTTGCCTTTGGACTATGGCCCTGCAGGTTAAACTGTTTATTTTCCCTGCAGAAAGGCTTATTCGTGTGATCTGAGTGCCATTCATCTAATAATGTGCAGTCAGATCCAAGCTATCTGGGGATATGTAGAAATGTGTGTTTTATGTACTAAATGTGTCAGTATGTAATTTTATGTCTTTTACTGTCTTTTTGTCTGCCATGTGGGTAATGGAGTTTGGCTCTGTCTTTGGAGATAATTAGATTCCTTCTCCAATTATCTCCAGGGCAGAAGGGAGGAAGCCAGGATGCATTGTGGGGATGTTTTACTTTTACTGTTTGAGCCAGGGGGAACAAAAGATACTTTTACTAACTTTTGAACCCCTGGTCTGATTCATGCCATTTTTTAATATGTTGTTCCCCTGAATGGATTGATTGTGAATATGTATTTTTATGCGAATGTGATGTATATTTTGGGAGTTATGAATGTTGTGTAAAAACTGTATTTTCCCTACCTATGATAATTGTATTTCCCTGTGTGTACAGATAATTAGTTTACAGGTAGAGGGGAGGGCTATGTGTGGGATGTAACTATTGTGTGATTGGTTAATGTACGTTACTGTGTGTGTCCCTCCCCTTCATGGGAGCACCTAATAAAAAGGGCTGCAAGCTAGCAGCCAGAGAGTTCTATTTTTACCCTCAACTTGAGTCCTGTCTCTTATTGGGGGAATCTGCTACAAGGGATTGCTATGCTAGGCATATTCCCTTGCTATAATCACTGAGCTCTTGTAAGAGCTTGTTCCTGCTTCGTTCTGAAGGGAGATAGCTGCAGCCTGCGGTGCTTATGGTGTCTGGTGGAGTGCTTGGAGTCCTCTGGAAGCGCTAGGAGCATCTTTCAACGGAGGTACCCAGTCGGGGTGCCAGGTGATCCGTTACATTTATTAAATCTCTTCTTTTCTGTAACCAAAACGTTAGACATAAATAAGCATAAATTAACATATATACATATATAACTCCACCCATAGTGTTATACAGTGACCCAACCGTCCTTGCCAATAAACATAGAGTGGTTCCTAATCACCACTCTCTCTCACCTCCCCCCTCGTCATAAAAATCATATATTTCCAATGCCTGCCATCAGCCGACTTTACCCACGCTCGATGGGCACGAGACCTCAGGCAACCTAAAGTTTAACCTTTGAAGCAGGGGAGGTTTGAGACCTTAAAAACTTGTTCATCTCATTCCATATACTTAAACGTAACCTCAAACTCAATTGGCAAGGACATACCCCCGGCTAGCTGTGACGAAATATACTATAGGGTGGGCGGGAGGGAAGCTGTTTGCTGGCCCGAATCCCAAGTGGCACTGAGGTAAGACCTCCCCCACACTAACTTACACAGAACATAATCACACCCACAGACTCTTTCCCTACCAATCCCATGCATCTATCCCCACACTCCTACATGTGCCCTTGTCCGCTTAGCTGCGCTATCTCCCCAGGGCCTCATTTAAAAGAATGTTTATAATTTCCTGCAGAAATACCAATTCATGGATTACCAAGATAAAGCTGCTGGGGGCAATCCTCTTGCTTTTCATATAATCTTTCTCTTTATTTGTAAAACAGCCTGGGCAATAAAGTTCAATCCACTTTTAAAGGGTTTTGTGACAGGACACAAACCAGCCTTAGGCAATTCATGAGAGAAGCCATTCAACTGTAGTGCAGTTGCTCAACCTTGTTAGATATTCATTTACTGGACTGTATAAACAAACCATTACATCATAAACAGAAATGTTGGCAGAACTATTTTGATTATATGTTAATATTCCACTCAGCATGTCTGCACATGGTTTATACATAAATGAGCCAGTCTGTTGCAGGCCCACCATCAGGAGATCAAGCAAGCCCCTATTCAGCATGTGTTTCCGTTTTGGTTTGCGCTTGTTTTAGTATTGTAACCTTTTTTCATTGCATACCTGTTGGCTTAGGTCAAGATTAT